AGATCGGCCTCTATGACCTATTTAGCAAAGTAGTTCCTATCTCACATACCTTGTCATCTGTGTGACATGGCTATTTATTCCGTGCTCCAATCGCTAAAGTCACCTTGGACCGATATAATTTTAAAACTCAATAATCCTTCATTCTGAGCTAGTCGTGCAACCAGAAACGTAGCATGCGGCGAAATAAGGTAAATAGAAGTAGTGATGAAGAGAAGTTTCGATGGGAAGTTTAGCCCGATTGCCCGGGTGATGTCGTAGACCAGTGCGGGGGGACGGCACCTAGTATGAATGCGCCCACTGCGGTCTCGAGAAAACATAGTCGAATCACACGATCACTCTCGACCCTCGAACTTGGTTAATTAAACCGTATTAAATTAATAAAAAACAGAATGACAATAATGAGACCTGTGCGAGGGTGATTAAAGCACATTATGAACATAAGTGAAGTAAAAACACAATACAGCATAAGCACAACAGTCGAAAGGGATTAAATGATAAAATGCTCTTAAGGATCAGAATATGAATAAATCTAATGCTAATTATCTAATAGGTCAATCTAAATGTTAATGAAGAAGATAAGATGCTTTTGTGGTAAAGGATTAAACAGAGTGCTTATAATGCTGTAGAACAATGAGAAAGAAAGATAGAAATGCTCTAGAAATATAGAAAGAAAAACAAAATGCTCTTACGGTTTAAGACGACGTGTAGAATGCTCTTGATGCTCTGCCACGTACTAGCGTTCATCATGCGTGCGCCGTTTCCCGCGCAATCGATCAGTAGAGATCACACGTTGATCGTGTCGCAGGATATCTTCAGTGTAAAAATCACTAAACCAATCAAACTATAAGAAACACCAGCATAAACAAGGTAAGTAAATACTTACTAGTAAATAATGCTCTCATGCTCCCTTCTATTATATCACGTCTGGATCAGGCATTACATTACGACTAAGTATCAGCGGAGCGAATGACTTGCACTGGTCCCTGTTATCTTCACTTGCTGATTGCCTTGAACCGAGCACAGTACTTATGCCTCGCTGGCAACTGCGACATTTGTCAAAGATCGTGGGCTGGTGCGCCGCGTGCGACGGCTTCGACATTACGTAGTTTCGACTTACGCATGGAACGAAATACCCAGTATTGGCTGCACTGTAAATATATGTTCTATTTCAGTGAACGCATCTATAATGTGAAACCATCCAAAGTGATGCTTTACGACAAATACCCTGTGGATTTCCATTTGGCCCTTTGCATGAAATTTTTTCAAAGAGTGAGCCTTTTTATGATCTATACTCGGTACCAGCTGCTCAATTTTGGCACTGGAACTGAGCCCAACTTCGCTTACAAGGTGTATGTCAGTATACTCAAATTACCGGGTACTCATGTCTCTCCTTTGGACTATCTGAACAAGGTGTTATAAATTAAGGATATCAAAAAGGAGCCGGATTTTCGTGAAGCGATACTTTTTCCATATAGTGGATTCAGGATAAGGAAATGGACAGAAACGTATCCGAACGGTAATGATTGATCTGCTCAGTGCACTGAAGCTGCACAAACATAAATATAGTATCTGCACGAGAGGTGCACAGTTATCCCTATGTATAGGGCGTTAGCTCCTAGGATATAAAGAATGAGAAGGGTAGGGTTTTTACATTAATCAATCTCGTCTGACGAATGCGCCCACGCACTCGACTTCCAATCAGAATCCTAGTGGCATAATGAGTGCGTATGTGGCCTATACAATGAATTGCGGTGGCTAGCCGTTGTACAAGTCAGTGCTTTTCATTCCCAGACGAGACTGGTACCAATTCATCTACCCCAGACGGATGGAAAGCTTAGTTGGCTTAGGCGCATATCGATCCGCGAATCGAGCCCGTGACCGTGCGTGTGTGAAGGGGTCACTACCCAGTACACCACCTTCGCCCTTTCCAAAAACAAACTACTGCAAAATTATGCACCGAAGCTTAGAAGAGGAGATGATTACGAAATGATGAAATTACTAACGGAATGCCTAAATCCACTTTTGTTACAATGTCATCGGGTGCTTTCTGAGTAGAACGACGAGAGTTGAGCATAGCACGTTGAAACCGCGGTAGCGTCCGCGCCTCCGCTGACAATTACGTTGAAGCGACAGAGTCGGGCATCTCCCACTATTTTTCCAAACGTTCCTGATTTTTCAACTGTCTGGCACCTATCAGATTCGTTGAGAGCGTTGAGCGCTGACGCTCTGTTGATAATTATTCACCGCCAATCTGGGCTGTCTTCGATCAACACTTCCTTTTTTCAATTTTTTTGCATACGAATTCGATAATTTCCTTCTTGAACTATTATGGTATATGAAATGTGACGACAGCATTGCTCGAAGAGTAACACGCTTCAACGCAAAAATCGTCAGCGTCTTCTTGGACGCTGACGCGACCTAGGAACGCCGAGCGCCACCGAAGGGCGTCAAACCCACAACGCTATACCTAGAAAGCGTACCTCGAGCTTCTTCTTCTTTTAATACTATGAATCAGAAACAAGTTGCAGTAGTTCTTCTTGCTTTGGTTCCTGTTGTCGTGATGAGTTGTAAAAGAGTAGGTGCAGGAAGGAATTCTGAAATCATGGTGAGCCAGTTCTTATCATGTCAGAGAATACGCTTTAAGAAAAAAAGGTCTTACTAAGGAACTTATGATATCCATGGATACGGATATGCTCGATTTTTACTTGTCACATGCACTTTTTGCTTACCTACATAATTTTATGGTGACTGGGATCCTCCTTTTCCCTGCCGTGTTTTATTTTATCGACGTACGTTCTTAGATACCTTCCAATAATCTCTAAAAACTCGTAAATATTGTTAACTCAAGGTCGGATGTTTGTTCACTATAATATTCATAAATATCGTGCTGGGCATACCTGCTGCATTAATCTCCCTCGTTTGTTCAACATTTTCGAAAAGCTCCCTTACCGCAGCGATCTGTAAGTTCATCATCAGATTTTTTTACTAGGAAGATCTGATTGAGAGGGACTTCAAAGTCCTGTGAGAGTGTTATATAGTAACCAGAAAACACACTCAAGCGCCTCCAAACAACCGTCACCTATACGCAGCAACAAAAAAGAACTCCGTGCGAGGCCTATAGGCTTGGTTGGTGGGACATAGGGGAGGGTTACTGTATCACAGATTACAACACTCTGGAATATGACTTGTTGAGAGGGTCACTTATTTTCATTGTCTCATTGTCTGCGCTCTCTCACTGTATAGTATCCTGCAGACCAATCTCTCTTTCGTTCCAAATTTATGCATAGGATTAGCATTTGGCCCATCCCCTCCTCAACGCAAGACCTGAACTCTATCTCCTGGCTCAGAATTATTTTTAAGAACTATTACAAACCCGCAACGCGACACCTTACGTTCTCTGCGCTCTAGCCGATAGCGTTAGAAATGTAGGGCACAGTGAAGTGGGCCCCTACAACTTCATTTTCACCTATTTTTTGCTCGGTATAAGCGATTTTCACTGAAATTATCTGTTTTTAGGGTGTTTTCTCGTATGGATGGGTTTATTTCTAGCATCTCTTATGACACCTCGCTTAGATTCGAACTCACCAAGTTTGTATATATTGCACTTGAACCCGCTGGCTTCTTTCAAGTCGTTTTTCGAAAGTATAGCTACATACCATATACGAGGTAAGTGGTACGTTTCTAACAATAAAATGGAATGTAAAAGATCAAGAAGTAATAACAAAACGAGAAAAAATAGCAAAGACAATAACGAGAAAAAGTCAAAAAAGTCAGCCGAAAGCATACGGGATGAGATCCTTGAAATTGGTATGGACTCATTTGAGAAGAGACTGATAGTTTTGGTGACAGAAGTGGGCTTCACCTCACTGAACTTCTTTTTTGACGACATTTCGGTTCTGTTACTCCAATAGGGTAGGAAGAGGAATCTAGTCGCAAGTAGAAAACTAACACAGGCATGTCCGGAGATCGATTACTGATCGTTATCCGTCCACGCCAACAGAGCCTTTCACTCTTGCGGGTTCCATTAATTGGTACCAGACTCGTCTGGGAGGATAAAACCACTGATTTGTTCATCAGCTGGGCACCGCAAGTCATTGCATAGGCCACATATGCATTCAATACGCCACTACGATTCTGAATGGAAGTTGGATCCTGAAGCGCATTCCAGAAACGAAAAGGCTTTCATCTCAGTATTCTATACCGAATACTTCTGCAAGTTAATGCCATTGGGCCTATCTACATCGCTGATGTAGCCCTGATTTGTTTGAGGGGAGTCAACAAAGTCCGCTCCGAATGACATCCAACTTGTTTTAATACTTGATTGAACGGAATATTTCCAGGATCAATGGAAAAAGGTTTATTGACTGTAGTCTACCCTGATGTTTTCACTATGCTTGAATCCTTCGTTTATATGGTGACCTCTTGCTTCTTGATGATTCTTTATTTATTCCTCTTTGAGATCTCTTCGCTTGAATATTTCAAGTGTCAGGTCAGTTTTGCTTTGTAAACATCCCCGGTTGATATTTAGAACTTTGAGCCGTCGAAGAAATAATAGTCCACGTTTATATAGTAGATCTCGTATCATCCCTAAGTAAGAGGTCAGGGGTCACTGGTAAGGAGACCTAAAAAAAAGCCGGACAGGAAAAGTAGGGAACTTCAGCACAGTTAACTCCCGGCCTTGTACAAGAATTCGGTAACACGATGGGCGTTGGAAAGGGGTCGATTGCCTATGTGTCTGCGCTGTCTCAAATCTGTATAGTGTTGTTCAAAGGGGGCTAATGGGAACTGGAGTACAATTATGGACGAATCAACTAGATGCAGTACTTACCTAGGTGCCATCGAAAACTGCGCCTCTATGAGAGGGCGCAGACGGAGCAAAACTTCGTAGATTGGCCTGTTTGACACGCCCACGGGTAGAATTTTGCCAAAAGTTATGGGCCTTTTTCATCATTCACAGGACGCTTCTTGCTCTGGCAACGCTACTTATCATATGAATTTTTGAAATGGGGTTGTATGATGTTTGCAGTCCCCAACTGTCCTAGTTTGCCCAAATACATGGTCCTGCTCTGACCAGCATATCGTTCAGCTACGCTCAAACAAGGTCCAGTCTATGACTTCTGAACCGTCATCAGATAATGAGCAAGAATTTGTGGATAGAGCAGTGTTCCTTGATAAAGTCTATAAAAGTTGGCAAACCAAAGAGTCTGCAATTAGTGATGTGTCTTTTGGAGCCTTCTATGGACAGGTTAGCGTAGTACCGTCAGATCTATAAAAATCGAGATGGCAAAACTCGGGTTATGCATTACCCTAGGTGACTGTTCTACTTGGCCATGATGGATGTGGAAAATCAACCATAATGAAGCTAATTTGTGGAGATATCGATGCAACGCGAGGTACGCTCTGATCGCAACGGAATTTTAACTTAAAATCCAGATTTTACGTTCCTTTTTTAGGCTCTATTTATGTATTTAATATGAAGAAAGGGCGAAGAAAAAGCTTTTTTTGCAAAGATATTGGCTATTGTTCACAACAGATAGCACTTTTTGAAAATTTGACAGTTCTTGAACATCTCTGGTTCTTCTATTGCCTGAAAACAGGGAGAACCGATTGGAGTGATGATGTTTCATGTCTGGCCAATGATGTTGGCTTGAATGACTATCTCAGAAAGGTATTTTCTTGAACCGAATCCAGAAAAAAAGGCTGCAATGTACCTCGATTTACCCGAGTTACCTACTTCACCTCTAGTCGTTTGATCTGATAGTGCATTTGAAGAACCTCGATTGAAGCAGTAGTCACCTAGTGGCCTCAGTGGCCTTGGTCATGCGATCAACAATTCTAGGGAGCTGTTTGAATCAATTTTACAGAAAACATCAAAATTGGACGAAAAACGGAAGCGACTATTGACACTAGCGATTTCCATGGTCGGCGGCAGTTCGCTTGTCCTAATGGATGAGCCCTTCAAAGGACTTGATGCTGAGACAAAGGATCATTTCAGAAAAATACTCGAACGTAATAAAGAAGGAAGGTACTTCTACATCGGCTCGGACTTTGCTTTTTCCTCCTAAGATTACATTCTACTCTCCTTTGCTAATACTCCATGTGAACATGAAAAACTGATCTTTTCTACAATGAGTAAACTTGTGCTTGAAAACCCGTATTCTTGGGCTTTCAGATGCTTCCTCGTTGCAACGTCGTCGGCTGAAACAGCCGAAATGATAGGAGACCGCATTGTAATGCTGTACAACGGCCGAGTCCTTGCATTAGGACCAATTCCGTCGTTGAAAGCAGAGTTAGTAACTTTTAGATGATCTGTTCACGAAATTCAGCTACGCTTTGCCCCATGTGACTATCCACCCAATGGCGCTACAGTGTCCTCACAGGCGGTCTTAGATTATGCCGACATAATGGGAGGAGGTGCCGTAGTGGCAGGTGGAAGTGGTGCACTAAGAACGAAATTGTCGCGTCGCGGCGAGAGGGACATCGCGCGAAGGAATGTAGTAGAATGCAGCAGCAAGTAAGAATCACAGGAACAAAAGAAACAACAGTAGAAACATGCCTAAAGTAATAGGCATGGCGATTGAGCTGTATGAAGAACGCTAGAACAGTTGTAACGAGGCAACTGGTCCGCGACAGCCGCGTGCGGCCTATTGATTACACAAAACAGTTCCGACTGCCCGTCCCCCGTGCACTATCACATGCATGGTCCGGGGATCGAATCCCCGATAAATGCCCGCTTAGACCAACCAGGTCTTCCACACTCCTTTGTCGGTTGAACGTAGACCTACCATTCTCGTGTGGGAGGATAAAAACCCTTGACCGTACTGGACCAGCATCCCAAATCGGGATTGATCGACACCGGAAGACTTTAGGCTTTCATGTTATGACAATGTCAAACTGTTCCTGAAAAAACAGCTGGTCATTGGTTCCCAAGCCGAATTCGGAATACCCAGTGGACCTTGGTTACTCCTGCAGGGTCGAATCTTCGTTGGGCCCTTACGTCCTTCCAGTCCAAAAATATTTACTGGGGAGGCACCATGCTCCTAGAAGGGTCTGAGGTTGTTAGCCTGAAAAGGGTTTTTACATTTCCAGTGCTGAGAGGATATCATCCTAAGTGTGAGGAGGTAGTAGTTAGAGATGGATATGGCACACGGAACGGAGAGATATCCAACCCGGAATTTTTGAACAACTAGGAGAACCCCATTCCCTGCAGGGCCCCCTGATTGTCCGGGAGTCTTCGACTGCTTCTTTTGCTCCAATGGTGACTTTAGATTCGGCTGTAACTACGTCCTGAACGTTCTACTTAGCAGTGAAGCATCGAATCGAGAAAATATAATAGAAGAAATGGGGAAGGTACAAACTTCAGGCCGCCCAATGTTTTCAAAAGTCTCATGAGATTTTGCTGATTTAGGTGGTTCGAAAACTGGTCCCAACTGCTGAGCTCCGATTAACTTGTGGCAAATTAGTCCAATTCGGATTCAACAGTAACAACCATGAAGAGTGAGTACCAAAAAGGATTTCTTGACATTGCTTTCTCCAAACTCAGTAGAACCGATCTAGACAAATTGCTCTTTTACGTGGTCTTGAAGGAAGCAAAGAAATTCTGGGAATTTCGGAATATTACGTCACAATATGCACGGTCATGGACGTGTATCGCAGGTTTGTTCTTTTTTAATTCGAAAAATCTCTCATTAATTTACGCCTACGCCCAGCAAACTGTTAGGGTATTGCTCGTATTATAAGCAATGTGAGGAATGGGTGAAGGTGGTGTAGTGGCAAGGGGCACAATATCACAAACGCATGGTCAAAATTTCGAATCCCCCATCGGTATCCGCTTGAGCCAAGCTTCCATCACGCGGGACCGTTAGTTAATATCAGAGTCGTCTGGAAGGATAAAAACACTGGCTTGTATTATACATCGGTTGGCCACGAAAATTCATTGTGTGGGACGCATACGCATTCAAACCGCCACTATAATTCTGAATGAAAGTGCAATGCGGGGCACATACCCCAGATTTTGAGATCACTTCTATGAATCTTATTAAAAGATAATTATTAAGGGTTGAAGTGCTTCACTTGAATGAGGATATAGAAGAGGATCAATTGGAAGAAGAAACTAAAATTCATCGTGGTATGTCATTCAATAAGCTTTCCGTTCTCTGGCAAGAAATTTCAACCGAAATGGTGTCATCAGGAAAATGCCCATTCGCACGACAATTTTATGTGCTGCTGAAGAAACGACTGTACTTGTTACCAAATCGTCATTGCTGTTTAGCGGTGGTAAGTCTAACGGTCCGATTGGAACTATGAGAATCCTAGTAGAAGGCCTTTGAATTCTTTCCAAGTTTCTTGGACACATACCAATCCCATGCTTTTCTCCCTAGCACACGAATGTGGGTCTGACCTGAAGGAGTTTCTAGCTAATCAACCAACCCCATAATTTGCAATTATGGCTATATTCAAATCATATTTGTTTTTATTCCATGATCACTGATCATTGGAAGTTCATTAGGACACTATGCGAAGGGCCCATTACCTCCAGGAAAAAAGCTCCATATCTCTCAGTCTGTGAAAGTGTGGTTATAATTTTTACATAAAGCCAATGAAGAGTTTATGGGCCAGAGGATTAACGTTTTGCCTTCGGTTCGACCCTCTGCCATCCCAGAGTAAACCAGAGCAAAAACGGCAGTAAAAAACTTTTGGCGATATGGTACGGTTTTGGAAGCGGATGGAATTAGTCTCTCCTCCATGAAAGATTTATGAGTTGTCAGAATAATATGGGAGGAATTCAGTCGCGAAAAGGTGGTAAATCCAGATGTCTTGCAATATATAGGGTGTCCCAAAAGTTTCGAGAAAATTTGGTCATGAATTTCGCGACCATGTTGCGCAAGAAAGCGCCGAAGCGGAGCCGCGGAAAATGGGCAGGAGAAGGGCACTCTTAGAAGATCGTCAAAACAATAGAGCAGTATTGCACTTCATCGAGTTGTCATCATTCGAATTATGTCCGACCGACACGACTACCGGCGCGTTCTGCTTCATTACTACCGATCTGGTCACTTCGCCACTCAAAGGGGAACGGATTGCAGTCATCGATGGGCAGTACCGCACCTTCTTCGCCACCTGCAATAGGTGGTACGGTAGCTTCTCTAGAGGAGAGGTTTCCTTCGACGAAGCGCCACGGAGAGGACTTCCACGTTCCACCAAGACCAACATTGTCTTAGCCTCAATGCAAAGCAATCCTTCTCAAAGCTTGAGAGAAATGGAGAGGATGACATCTGCTCCCCGTTCCACCATCCACGACATCCTACGCGATGTCGTTTTCGCGCAGCACTTCGTGGAGTTACCCCCACACCTTGGCTGAAAGCGAGCGTCAGGTGCGGGTCGGTGTGTGCCTACTGGACCACAAGCGAACTGTGGCTCGGACGAGCTTCATCACCGCTCAGGATGAGAAGTGGATTTCTTATGAAAATCCACGCAGGAAGTTGCAGTGGCTACCAATTGACATAAGGCCAGAGGCCGTTGCAAAGCGTGGAGCACACGTCAAAAAGGAGATTCTCGTTCTTCTTCTGCTCCGCCGGTTGTTATTACTGTGATATCCTACCTGAGGGCACTGCTGTGACTGCAAGGGTATTCTACGAACAGCTGCCTGCGGGAGATGGTGTCTCGAGCCCCGGTTTCACACCGAATGCAGGGAAAGTTTCTGATTTTGATGGACAACGCTCGACCTCATCATGCTAGGGCGACGGCTGAGAAGCTGGAAAGGCTTGGGATTGCCTGGCTACCCCATCCTCCGTATTCAGCTGACCTTAGCCCTTGCGACTACCACGCCTCCAGGAGTCTACAAGCTTACCTCAAAGGAAAAAAATTTTATAACAGTCAGGAGGTCAAAGGTGCACTAGATGAATGGATCGCGTCGCGCTCCTCTTCTTTCTGGATGATTGNCCCCATCCTCCGTATTCAGCTGACCTTAGCCCTTGCGACTACCACGCCTCCAGGAGTCTACAAGCTTACCTCAAAGGAAAAAAATTTTATAACAGTCAGGAGGTCAAAGGTGCACTAGATGAATGGATCGCGTCGCGCTCCTCTTCTTTCTGGATGATTGGCATCAGTGCTCTGCCCAGTCGATGGAGGGAACGTCGTGGCTGAAGAGGACCACTACCTCGATTACTGTTCTAACCTTTTTGTTGTAGTATTTTTGTGTTGAATAAACCAAATAAATTTTCTCAAAACTTTTGGGACACCCACTATCCTGCTAACTTCCTTCACTCATTTTCTTCCTTTCTAAAATTTAATTATGAGAATTTCGGCAAAATCATCAGTGTCGGGAGTGTGAGTAGCGTCCAATGTTTCCTTTTCTGACAGTCTGCACGTAAATTTACAAAAGTCTTCCTAGAGGGGCTGTCAGTATAGTTTTCCGTCAGATTGCTCTTTTTAGGTCACCGTTCCAATCGTTCTCGTGATTTTCACAGTGATGTCAATTAGTAATCGAGGCGATGCCGACCCCACACGGTGTACGTTTAATGCCTCTGAGGTGTATGCTTCTACTGACCGCATAAAGTTCATGTAACGAAGTAATCGTAAAAGTCAAAGAAAAAATTAATGAAAATCAATACTGACCTGTATTTCGGCATCTCTTGGCCCAGAGAACAACAAGTACAACCGAACTTCAGAAAATTCAGGGTATTCTGTTATAGGAGAAAAAGCAAAACAAACCCATCTCGTATCTGCTAATGTAGAAACTAATCTGTGGCTACTGTGCCCATGAAGCTGGGCTCACAGTAGAAATCTTGATTCGTTTTCAAAGATTCTTGGCTAGTTGTCTCGCCCCGCACCATGTCAAAGCAGGTTGTCTGACTGGTCAGCTTTTCCGCACGCCATGCCGCCGAGGTCCCAGATTTTCCACCGTCGTCCCATTTGGGATTCCATAGTAATCGGGAAGGATCGGTGGACTAATGTACCTTGGTTTATCATAGATAAGCTGAATGTAGTTCAAATGTTATCTGACGGAATTCGAAAAGTTCCAAAGCCGTCAATTATGAAAATAGATTTTTATTTTTTCTCTTGAACTTAAAGTCGTCTAAGAAGATCGATTCAGTTCCAAGCATATCACTCGATATGTATGACCATGGTCGCTTCATCATTTACGATCCAAATAATATGACTGAAAAGGCGTGCAAGGTTTTGGAGAATGTTCTTCTTCATCCCAATATTGAGGTAATTTAATAGTAATCTATTCCGCTCAGATTACTTATCTTTGGAGAATTGTAAAATTTTCTGGAAATTAGAATTTTCATATAGACCAGCGGTGTGTAGTGGCAACCGGTGTCCTATCACACAGGTGTGGTCCGAATCAAATCTCGGATCGATACCAGCCCTGACTAGCCCTGACCAACCATGCCTTTCAAGCCAGGGGTGATTGATAAGGGCCAAAGTCGACTAGGAGGATAAAAGTACTGAGCTGTCGGCTGGCCTCCGCAAATGGTTGTTACGGTTACATACGATTTTAGATTACCACTAAGACCTTGGATGACTGTCGGGTGCAGGACGCATCCCAGGAAGAATCCGAAGATGGGGTGCATGAACTTCGCCTGGGTCACTTTCCTAACTAAACTGTTCCACAAAACTCATTTTGAGCTCTAACAGAAGGCTTAAGGCTTTTTCTATAGAATAGCTCAGACCTTTTATGAAATTGTGTAATCCACTGAATGATTTTTTGAACCCAATCCCTTACGAAATTGCTCCTTACGGTCGAAATCGTCGATTTCTTTTCAGATTATATGGACTCACTCAGATAATCTCTGCGAGAGTTGGCCAAATGACTGGCCTTTTGTTGTTGGAGCAGTGGCATTCGGTGAAGACATCGGACTTGCTGTAGTTGTAAGTCCATTGTTATTTAGAAATTACTCTAAAACGATGAAAACCCAAGCTCCAGCAAGTCGAAGGGGTGCACCTTTTTCACTGGGATGGACCGAGGAACGGAAGGCTTCGTTGGCCTAGGCGGATGTCAATTCGGGATTCGAACTAGTGACCTTGCGTGTGTGAAGGGTGTGACTTGCCACTACACCACTTCCTCCCGTGATTTTCAGGATGAAGATAGATGTACATTCAAGATGCCCTATCCTCTTATGACAGACAACAAGGTACATCAAAGCTCTTCCAATGTAGATAAATAAACTTTCTGACTGAATTTATCGATAGTTCAGAATGGAACATGTGAACGTTGGGGATGTTTTCATAAGACAATCTTTCAAACGGTGAGTCGTCGTCCCTCATTAGCCCCTATATTCTAGAGCAAGAGAATCCGCTATGCTGTTTTTGCGAGAAATAAGAATTCCTAAAAGAAGTGGAAAAAGTGGTTGTACGAGATCACCGTGATGGAAACGGCATGGACAAGATTTCAGTTGTAGCCATTGCTAAACAAGTTGACTACATCACGTTTAAAATGCTCAAAACTCCTTCTACTGACGACCGGATCACCTCCAGTTGTTTGAATCTCAGCATGTTAGTCCCCTCTGAATGGTGCAGCCTCCAGGACGACGTTAGAACTCGTCCACCTTTGGGCGTGGCATAAAGCCGATGCAACGTTTGTACCCTAATAATGGCATATCTGGATCATTTTCCGATATGTCAACCCAGCGTACCAAAGATCCATCGCAGAGGGTTAAGTTAAAAACGATTTTTATTGTTAACTGTACTTTCGAAAGTATTATACCTGGATCAGCCTGATTGGTTCCGAGCTCAAAGACATTCGTGCGATACAGATGCCCTTTTCTGGTTGGAAATCCAATAGTTTCATTGCTTAAAGGTGGATGACGAACATGATGAAATTTGGTTTGTTCCAAATATCGCCACATTCGGTTATCATACAATTATTCAAGAAATAGTACAAGGACGTTGGAGGATGCGTGAGATTTTACTCATAATATTCCACCAGCTAGCCCACAATGAATTTTATTGAAGGATCAGTTCCAGCTTCAATTTTCCGTTCCCTCCATACAGCCGAGTTTCAGCGTGGGAAAAGCTTNGATGAAATTTGGTTTGTTCCAAATATCGCCACATTCGGTTATCATACAATTATTCAAGAAATAGTACAAGGACGTTGGAGAATGCGTGAGATGTTACTCATAATTTTCCACCAGCTGGCCCACAATGACTTTTATTGAAGGATCAGTTCCAGCTTCAATTTTCCGTTTCCTCCATACAGCCGAGTTTCAGCGTGGGAAAAGCTTCATGTGGATATAGAAATAGCAGCAGTGAAATCGGATTCGAATGGTACCAGTATGCTCATTATTGGGATTGCCCACGTTATTCTTCTCTCAGCATTTGTCATTGTACCAGTACAGGAGAGAAGTTGTAATTTCAAAAGACAGGTAAGTAATATAGTTTTGAAATCTCATCAAAGATGCATTGGATCACAGGAAATGGATTAGCAATTAGGTAATGGCGTACGGTGCAATACTTGGAAAGAGGCGTTGTCGTTGAAAGCACTACTCCAGTGGCATAATGCCCAAGTACTGCGAAGAAACTGAAAATAAGCCTAAAACCCGATAACTTCTATTTTAAGCAGTCACTATAGAATTCCTGAGTTTTTGTGGCGGTCCCGTCTCATAATTACACCTCTGAAAGACTGTTTAGAACGCTCACCAGTGGACATCCTTGAAGATTGTCCTTTGAAGGTTTGAAGAGTCATTCAGTGAATGTCCTTCGATGGCTTCCCTCTCTTCAAAAACTCGATGCAAAGGCTGCACTCAACATTCGGCGTTTGATGACCCAGTTTCCGCAATGGGTAAGCTGACGACGGCGCTCAGGACATGCGCCGCGGCTAGCGAGCTCTAGTTCCATATGCCCTATTAAATGCTACCCAATAAGGGGAAATCTGCGAAGGGGATTGCACAGGAACAACTTCCTAACGCTGTCCACACCTAATGTGCAGGAAAGGATTGGATAAGAGAATCGACCCTTACATTTATACCTTCTATCGTTACGAACGGGACGAACTACTTGTAGCAGCTCGAAATGAAACTTTGGGAAATTGGATGAGTCACAATCGATGAGAAATGCCTCCCTTATTCACAGAAATCATCCTCCAGAAAAATTGGGAGTGGGCTGGCACTCACCCACAAGGATAGGCTTAGGCAATGATTCGAGATGGTCTTATAGCTAGCCGCTCTTCCTCTCCATGGGTTGGCGTGGCTCCCATATGTGAAGAGAGAACTCGGCCATTGAGCCAAGCCCCTCAATTGCAACTAGTCAAGATCAGTACCGTATCTGTTACTGTTCGTACTATTAGTAAACATCACTGAGTGAGAAGGGACAGACAGCAAGAGATTGCATCAAGGAAAACAGCGTGCCGGTTCTCTTTATCTTACTGTCAATGATTATTACGCAGCACATGAGCAGTGCGGTGTACGGTGCAGTGACCTGTACAGTGGTCGGGGGACACTGGGTCAGATGACCTTGGGGAAGCAGATGGTGCCGGCCGCCTATTGCGCTAGTCACATAGATGAGCTCAGCTTGAAGGGAAGATATCACGATCCAGTGCAAATCATTGGCTTTACTGACCTTAGTGGTACTGTAGTGTTATATCGAGATCGCGGTGGTCTGCGCCATGCGCGAGTTGATCGGAGGTTCCTAGTTGAGCCATGGACGCGCGGAACGGACGTTTCCCAAGACATAGCATGCAAGTAGACCACTGTCTAATAAGCCTTCCATGCACGCAGATTCTTCCCATTTCGCGATTTCTTTCCCTTTTCTTCTGGACTGTTGAGAAGGAGATCAGTAGGTTCGGAGGTGGATGCCATCATTTCAGTTGTTAAGAAATATTGTTCAGCAGATTTTATCGGGTGCGTCGGTGTTGACATATTGGTTAGCCCATTTCCTCTTCGACGCTTTGATTGCTGTTATAACTGTATCGATATGCTTGCTGCTCATTGTGATACTGCACTCTGCTCCGTCGTTGTTACTGTCGTAAGTTCCTACCTCCACACCTATTGAATAATACTATCTTTACCTTTCAGTAACTGCTAATTGCACAATTTGTAGTTTTGAATGATTAGATGCGACTCAAAGCATCCTCCTGACGGCACCCGAGCCTCCAAAAATTCTTGATTTACTCAAAATAGGGGAAAGTAGAAAAGATGAGAGGGGAACAAGGGATATGAGCACAAGAATACACTACTGCCAAACTTCAGTCCTCCTAAACCTTTTTGGGTTAGCAGTTACACTCAACCACTTCTGGAGTCTTGCAGAAGGGTAGTAGGTTAAACTCATCCGTCGAGAAGCCTTGGTCATCTGCGCTATCAGACCATAAGACACATTCAAATAGTACAACTCGTCCAAGGATGACTGTACCCGAGTTCATTCGTCGGAATACGAGGGCTGCCTTTTATATTTCGGGATTTGGAAACACTAGTGCAGCAATCTAGCAACTGACACCACTATCGTAAAGTTTGACTTCTTTTAGGTTCCGTTGCAAAATTCGAGCGCGATTTGTGTTGTTTACACTAAGTTATAAGGTTTTGTTTCGGCCAAGTTATGGAGTTTAACCGTGGGCATTTTCGAGCGACAACTTTCGACGTGGACTAACTCAACAGCAATGCATGGATGAACTTGGTTCAATTTTTGGGGATGAAGCTCCATCCAGGGCCAGTGTTTATCGATGGTACAGTGGTTTCACCCGAGGTCGTAGTTCACTCGAAGACGAATTTCGTGGAGGTCGTCTAAAATCAGTTGTTGTTCCGGAAACCGTTGATACTGTGCACAAACTAATACTGAGAGATCGTCATGTGACCTATCGGGAGATTGAGGCAACCTTAAGCATTAGTGGGACCAGCTTACATTCATTTTTGCATGAACATTTGACCGTAAAAAATTTGTTGGCGTTGGATCCCACGCCACGACAATGCGAGCTCCAACACATCGGCTCAAACAACCGCATTTTTGAGCACTCAAAATAACGATTTGACAGGTCATCAGCCATGTAGCCTCCGGGTGACTTCTTCTCATCCCGTACGTAAAAAATAAAATGAGAGGTCAACGCTTTTCGACACCTGAAGAAGCCGTTGATGCGTTCATAATGCATGTTTTAGAGCTACTTAATCNGTAAAAAATTTGTTGGCGTTGGATCCCACGCCACGACAATGCGAGCTCCAACACATCGGCTCAAACAATCGCATTTTTGAGCACTCAAAACAACGATTTGACTGGTCATCAGCCATGTAGCCCCCGGGTGACTTCTTCTCATCCCGTACGTAAAAAATAAAATGAGAGGTCAACGCTTTTCGACACCTGAAGAAGCCGTTGATGCGTTCATAATGCATGTTTTAGAGCTACTTAATCAGAGTGGCAAAAGTGCTTCGAAAATTGGTTCGAGCCCATACAAAAGTGTATTGATCTTAATGTGGAGAATTTTGAAAGGCAGTCAAGCAATTTTCAATAAATAGTATTTGTTCCTGTTCTCAAATCCCGAAATATAAAAGGCAGCCTACGTATTTGGAAATCTTCACTAACGATGTAAATATTTCAGCCTAGCAATGTACACTTACGTGATCGGCGGTTTACCATTTGTTTATTTTATGTCGCTTATTTTTCGCTCATCTCATCAGGCTTTTATCCTTCTCACTGCATTTACCGCATGCTATCCCTTCGTGGTCTTCTTTTTAATCAGAGAAGATGTGGTTAGTTTATCTAGTTCAGAGCAGTTTCTATTCGCCCCTTGAAAATCTGAGGTTATAATGCGATTCTGTAAGGACAGAAGCTTTTGATCGTTGATCGATCTCGCCTTTGGATGCGCACTCGCAAACAATGTCCTATCATGGCCGTAGTGACGTCGAGATGCGTACTTGCCTTACACCACGACTGACTAGGACCTACCGATGTGTTAGTCAGAGTTTTTACCATCCCAGATGAGGCCAGTTTGGAGATGGCCTACGCGGCCATCAATACAGGATTCGATCTCGGGTGCTCGACCAGTTTCCACCCTATGAGATTCTTTTGTGACTATTGGACAAGAAAGGAAATCTATAGGAAAACTGAAAGACCACATAATTCCTGATCAGGTTCCTACGTAGGGCCCATCAGGCTATATCCCTTCCGAAAAAGTGTAACAAGTGTAGATCAGGGGTGATGTGGCAGAGGCAGGGAGGGCTCGGGGTATAGCGCTTGAGACATTTGAACTTACCCCTTCATTTTTAGTGATATTGTTTCAAATTCACGGTATTTCTTTTCAGCAGAACGTGCTAATCACTGAATTACCTACTGTCGCTTTCTTTTCGGCTCTCAAAGATAGACCCAACACACATAGTGAAAGTAGTTAATTTTTAAAATTTTTTTAAACCTCAAATCAATCGAAGCCGATCATTTTTGTTTAGGTTGTCTTTTATGCTCTATCTTGATTAAGTTTGTTGTATTCATGTTGCTACTACTACTTGCGGAGAGCAAGTTTTGGCGACGTTTGTAAGTTTATACGACACTTGTGTGTGTGAATTCTCAGGAGGGGCAAATGAACTCTTTGAACTTCTGGGGTGTTGATGAATCCCTTCTGAGGGATGCTCCCGCGCATTCAACTCTCATTCAAAATCCTAGTGACAGTTTGAATGCGTTTCAACCTAGACAATGACCAGCGTTGACCAGTCCATGTAAAGTCAGGACTTTTATCCTCCCAGACGAGTGAGGTACCAATTAATCGACCCCGGAGGGATGGAAGGGTGGGTTAACCTGAGCGGATATCGATCCGGGGTTCGAACATGCGACCATGCGTGTGTGATAGTGCGCCACATGCCATTACACCACCTCCGCCCAAAGGGTGAGCCTATTTAGTTCCACGTCTAATTACTTCGCACCTTCCTCGCCCATCCACTCAGTCACCTGTGGGGTGGCCTCGTTTAATTGGTTGGCTGCTGACCTCTCTGCCACACAGCCATACTCAGGAGTAACCATATCGATTATATGATTAAGAAACTTCTAAAACATGAAAAATAAGGCAAAACAAAAAATAAATACGCAACACTCTAATAGTGCAACACAGAAAGCTGTGGAGGCTAAAGTAATGATTGGAAAAATCATAGGATGGGAAAAGGATTTATCACATCGTGTAAGCAGCCATTCTCACAGGGCGCCTGCAGGCAAACTAGTTGACAGAGTGACCTTTCAAGCTTTTTTAACACCCTCTATCGCTTTCTGTGGACACCGCCAGTAGGTCACTTGAAGGTATTCAAATATGCGGATGAAAGCATCACAAATCACCTCTGTAGTGTGCTTGACATTGCATGAGCACGATGTCTCACTTGTAGTACTCTGAGTTCGACTACAGAGCTTTCTCGGCTTCAACTCAGGATTAGCTGCTACTGTTGCTCCTTCTTATTTCTACGGATCCTGTACTTAGCTAGCCTACCACAATACACTGTACCACCTCTATTTCTTGAATCTGCACCCCTTC